ACCAACCACTACAACAGAAGGCTTACTAGAAAGGCATGACCCCCTGTTAAGAGTGGTCAATCATGCTTTGTTAAACAATCCAGAAAGCTGGTCACTCAAATCCTCCTCCAGATCACCAAAACAGCAGGTAAGGATCTTCCAAACAATGGACCTTAATTAGGGTAGCTAAACCATTCAGGATAAGGCTTGGACTCAGTGGAAAACATGCAAAGAAAGAATGCTCCACATAGTGTAAAACCATAATCACAACATTTATTTAAAGTATTATTGCACTCACATGTAAGCAAACATTATTAGGCATTGATTGGCAAAAAAATTTAAATTTTCTAATTTCCAAAATAGCCGCTGGCCCTTCACCAATGCGCAGTAGCCTGTGTGTGCATGGCTCCACCCTATGCATTTCATCACACTTATCCTGAATGGTTTAGCTTTCCTAATTAAGGTCCATTGTTTGGAAGATCTTTATCTGCTGTTTTGGTAATCTGGAGGAGGATTCCAGTGACCAGCTTTCTGGATTGTTTAACAAAGCGTGATTGACCACTCTTAACAGGGGATCATGCCTTTCTAGTAAGCCTTCTGTAGTAGTGGTTGGTGCCATGACAACTTTCCTTGGTTTTCTTTTGTTTCATCACAGCCTTTTCTTTTCTTTTCTTTTTGGATGGACTATTTTTTTTTTTTACACATTTTCACTGTTTTCTTATGATTTTTTTGTAACTTTTTAAGTGCTGCACTTTTATGTATTTAAAATATATTATTCCATATATATATTATATATATATATACACAGTTAGGGCCAATGCTAGACTAATTTGCGCCCTAGGAAAGACTTGGAAATCTTAAACACTTCATAGCTCCCACCCTCCGGGTGGGAGTAGGCTACACTGTGCTGGCCACAGAAGATGTGAAAAATGACAAAGGCCCTGGATTTTAAAGTTTGCTAGTGTGCTTTATCTAGCAGACATTCAGATAAATGACAACCAAACTTAATTAAACAGCAATGGTCCTGCAGTTCAGTAAGTATACTCTGTCATTGTAAAGTGTAACCATTCAGACATTTTGGAACTGCAGCCAGGAAAGGTCAGTAAAGGTCTGGTGCTGTCACATGACAGTATCAAAACTTCCTGGTTGCCTGCAGTTCCGGGGTATCTAATTAGTAACATGTTACAATAACACAGTGGGCTTACTGAATTGGGGGACCACTGCTGTTTAGTTTATTCTGGCTATCATTCATCTCAATGTATGAATCAGCTACAGTGCGGTTGTTGGAGACTTTTCTGTGCCCCCTCTCTCCTAACCACTTGCCCTTCAGAGGATTTACCCCCCTTCCTGACCAGGCAATTTTTTACATTATGGCGCTGCGTTACTTTAACTGACAATTGGGCTGTCATGCAACGCTGCACCCAAAATTAAATTTACGCCCTTTTTTTCTCACAAATAGAGATTTCTCTGGTGGTATTTAATCGCCTGTACATTTTTAATTTTTTGTGCTATAAAAAAAAAGATCGACAATTTTGAGAAAAAAAATATTTTTGACTTTTTACTATTAAATTAAAAAATCATATTTCATCATAAATTTAGGCCAAAATGTATTCTGCTACATGTCTTTACTAAAAAAAAATCCCAATACGTGTAAATTAATTGGTTTACGTGAAAGTTATAGTGTTTACAAATGGTAGTAAATATACTGGAATTTTTTTTTTTTTTATTAGTAATGGTGGCAATCAGCGACTTATAGTTACATAGTTAGTCTTGCTGAAATAAGACAAAAATCCATCCAGTTCAACCATTAAAAAGAAAAAAAAAAAATATAATCCTACATCCACAGTTGATCCAAAGGAAGGAAAAAAAACACAGCAAAAAAAAAAACTGATCTTCTGAGAGGCAATCTGATATTCCCTGGATTAATTATACCTATAAATGTTAGTATCCGGTTATATTCTGTGTATCTAAGAAAGAATCCAGACCTTTTTTAAAGCAATCCACTGAGCTGGCTAGAACCAACCCTTGAGGAAGTCTATTCCACTTTTTCACAGCTCTTACTGTGAAGAAACCTTTCAGTTTTTGGAGATTACATTTATTTTTCTCCAGACGTAAAGAGCGCCCCCTTGTCCTCTGTGATGACCTCAGGGTGAATAACTCTACACTGAGTTCACTATATGAACCACTGATGTATTTATACATGTTGATCATATCCCCCCTTAATCTCCTCTTCTCAAGAGAGAATCAATTCAGTTTCTCTAATCTTTCCTCATAGCTGAGCTCCTCCATGCCTCTTATCAGTTTGGTTGTCATTCTCTGTACTTTCTGCATATTCCAGATGAGGTCTTACTAATGATTTGTACAGGGGTAATATGATATCTCTCTCTCTGCAGTCTATACCTCTTTTAATACAAGAGATGATTTTGCTCGCTTTAGAAACTGCAGCTTGGCATTGCATGCCATTACTAAGCTTGTGATCTACCAGAACTCCCAGATCCTTCTCCACCATTGACTCCCCCAATTGTACTCCCCCTAGTATGTATGATGCATGCATATTCTTAGCCCCCAAGTGCATAACCTTACATTTATCAACATTAACCCTCAGTTGCCCAATTAAACAGTGCATTGAGGTCAGCTTGTAAGTTGGAGACATCCTGCAAGGATGTTATTCTACTGCACAGCTTGGTGTCATCTGCAAAGACTGAAATGGTACTGTATGTTTAATCCCAGACCCTATATCATTTATAAATATATTAAAAAGTAAGGGTCCCAACACTGAACCTTGGGGTACACCACTGACAACCCTAGACCATTCAGAGTATAAATCATTAACCACTACTCTCTGAATACGATCTTTGTAGCCAGTTTTCTAACCATTTACATACAGATTTTTCCAAGCCCGTAGACTTTACCTTACACATAAGCTGTGCATGGGGAACTGTGTCAAACGCTTTTGCAAAATCCAAGTACACCATGTCCACGGCCACCCCTCTGTCCAAGGTTTTGCTCACCACCTCATAAAAAAGAAATCAGAACCGCACATGCGCCCTACTTGCACTGCCATTGGCAAGTGGTTAAATTAAATAGCAAAACACAACACAAGTAGTTGCAATGTCAAAGGTCAAGGCATATAATGTAGTTGTTCCTTTTACTGCATGAACTTTCCATTACTACTATGCAATATCCCACATTCTAGGCTTGGGTAGAAAGATGATGCTGCAAGCTTTAGCTTGAAATGAATGACTACCTTACAAAAAAAGGGAGTAGTTCCTACTCCTAGTTTCTGTCTAGGGCACTGCAACTATATATAGTAGTAGTGGAGAATGGCTAGTAAAAGTTGAATAAACACCTATGATTATTACAGGATGGGTGTATGAAACTAGAATCCAAGTCCACGCTTGCCACAATATGTAAAACACTTGGATATTATCTGTATATGCATGTCAAGTATCAGCAACAATAATAACATGCTGCTCCCACGACATAATGAATAGTACAATACACTCCACAGAGTCACTTTATAATTGCTAGGCACTATGACTCACAATGACTGCAAACAAAGCTTTGGTAGAAACTGAAGCTGAAGTGTGCCTAGAATGAATACAATTATGTAATCGCTTTATTTTAGGTATTTTTTAGCTTTTTTCAAAGAATGTAGAGGCTTTAACAATACCCTTTATTGGCTAAATTGATTTAACACTCTACTACTGCTTAGCAATTTTCAGTAAATACACTGCTCAGTTTTTGTGTAAAGTAGGCATAATAAACCAGGCTATTTACGTATTTGCATTTTGACTTACTCTCTCCTCTTTTGTCCCTCTTACAGGTATGTGCAACATGCACACCCATGTAAATAAACATTGAGCATTTGACATTTAGCAGTAATTACACTCTGTGAATATTAATCATATGCAGTGCAGTACTACTCAGTTTGTCTTTTTCTTGTTTGTTTAATCATTTCATTAGTTTTATCAGCACATTGTCTAGAAGCTTTTTATTTCATCTGTTGTATCTCCTTTACTAACATTTACAATTTCCAGTACAGGTTCTTATATATTGCTGTCAATTTACGCAGCACTTTACATATACTGTATATATTGTACATTCACATCAATCCCTAACCCTCAAGGAGCATAAAATCTAAGGTCCCTAACTCACATTCATACATATACATACTAGGGCCAATTTAGACAGGAGCCAATTAACCTACCAGCATGTCTTTGAAGTGTGGGAGGAAACCGGAGTACCCGGAGGAAACCCACGCAGACACAGGGAGAACATGCAAACTCCAGGCAAGTGGTGCCAGAAAATATGTGCATTACTGCTTTCTGGTAATCTGGGTTTGATTGTCCCGCAATGCACAGTAGTACCCAGGGGTAGACTGACAACTCATGGGGCCCCCGGGCAATAGGGGATCATGGGGCCCTTGTGTCCTTACCCAAACTCAAAAAAGCCTATGAAAAAGGTACCAGGGGCATCTCATGGGGCCCCCTACTGACCCCGGGTCCTCAGGCAGTGCTCGAGTTTCCAAATGGTCAGTCCGCCCCTGGTAGTACCCCAGCTTTAGCTTTAATGAGCTGTTAAGCCCATGTTTAGCGACATGGCTTGGATGGTAATGTGACAAGATACACATGCTGAGTTACCCGCCAGACACCCTGCTTAACCACTTGCCTACCGGGCACTTTCACCCCCTTCCTGCCCAGGCCAATTTTCAGCTTTCAGTGCTGAATGACAATTGTGTGGTCATGCAACGCTATACCCACATGACATTTTTTTCGCACAAATAGAGCTTTCTTTTGGTGGTATTTAATCACAACTGGGGTTTTTATTTTTTGCACTGTAAAGAAAAAAGTAGCAAAAAATTAAAAAAAAAAAGGTTTTCTTTGTTTCTATTATAAAATTTTGCAAACAGGTAATTTTTCTCCTTCACCGATGTGCATTGATGAGGCTGCACTGATAGGTAGCACTGATGAGGCGGCGCTAATGGGGCGGCACTGATGATGCACTGATATGTAGCACTGATGGGCACTGATAGGCAGCACTGATGGGCACTAATGAAGCGGCACTGATAGGTAGCACTGATGGGCATGAAAAAAACATTACTGTGGGGTCCCTCCTAACCTGCCTACCAGTCCTAAAGGGACTTTGTACAAAAATGTAATTAAAAAAAAAAAATGTCAGTCCTTCTGCAGCAGGTTCTATACATTGTACAGATGTGCAACTTTGCAGGTAGTTAAAGGGACCCCCAGACATGATATTTAACCACTTCAATACAGGGTACTTTTACCCCCTTCCTGCCCAGGCCAATTTTCAGCTTTTAGCACTGTCGTACTTTGAATGACAATTGCGCGGTTATGCAACACTGTACCCATATGAAATTTTTATCATTTTTTTTCACACAAATAGAGTTTTCTTTTGGTGGGTATTTAATCACCACTGAGTTTTTTTTTCTAAATAAAACAAAAAGACCTGAAACTTTTGAAAAAACACATTTTTCTTCCTTTCTGTTATACAATTTAGCAAATAAATAACATTTCTTCATAAATTTAGGTCTAAATGTATTATGTTACATTTCTTTGGTGAAAATACCCCAAATTATTGTATATTATTTAGTCTGTAGGAAAGTTATAGAGTCCACAAACCAAGGTATGTATATCTGACAATTGATTAATCCTGATGTACTGATGGCCCATCTCATTTCTTGAGACCCGAAAATGCCAGGACATTATAAATGACCCCTTTTGAGAAAGTAGACAGTTTAAGGTATTTAGTAAGAGGCATGGTGAGTTTTTTGAAGGTTGTAATTTTTTGTTACAATTTTTTTTTTTTTTACATATTGTCACCAGTCTAGTACAGCATTTTTGTATAACTGGTGTGGCAGTGATCAGAGACACTGACTGGTGACAGTATGTAAAAATAATAATAATTTAATTTGTATTTTTTTTCAAATTTTTCTATAATTTTTTTTTATTACATAATTGTTTCTTTTTTTTACTATTTTGATTTAACACACCATGACCAAAGCAATACAATGTTACCATAGTAGCATTAAACTACTCTGGGCAAGTGATCAGGATTTTTTTTTTTTAACAACACATCATGATTGCTAATAGAGATGAGCGAATTTTTCAAAAATTCGATTTGGCTGATTCGGCGAATTCCAGGAAGAAATTCGATTCGATGCGAATTAATTCGCTACGAAGTTAACTTATAAAAAGGGTTTCTAGGCTTCAGAAAGCCTTTAAATTAGTGCAGAACACTGTACCTTTAATTTAAATGCCCTTGGAGATGAGGAAGGAGAAGGAGAAGGAGAAGGAGAAGGATGAGAAGAAGGAGAAGGAGAAGGATGAGAAGAAGGAGAAGGATGAGAAGAAGGAGAAGGATGAGAAGAAGGAGAAGGATGAGAAGAAGGAGAAGGAGAAGGAGAAGGAGGAGAAGGAGAAGGATGAGAAGAAATAGAAGGAGAAGGATGAGAAGAAGGAGAAGGAGAAGGATGATGAGAAGAAGGAGAAGGAGAAGGATGAGAAGAAGGAGAAGGATGAGAAGAAGGATAAGGAGAAGGATGAGAAGAAGGAGAAGGATGAGAAGAAGGAGAAGGATGAGAAGAAGGATGAGAAGAAGGATGAGAAGAAGGAGAAGGATGAGAAGAAGGATGAGAAGAAGGAGAAGGATGAGAAGAAGGATGAGAAGAAGGAGAAGGATGAGAAGAAGGATGAGAAGAAGGAGAAGGATGAGAAGAAGGAGAAGGAGAAGGATGAGAAGAAGGAGAAGGATGAGAAGAAGGAGAAGGATGAGAAGAAGGATGAGAAGAAGGATGAGAAGAAGGAGAAGGATGAGAAGAAGGACAGTTCTGTGACAGTTTCTGTCTATTTCTGACAGTTCTGGGACATTCACTCCATACAGCGGTTTCAACATTGTATGGTTTCCATAAGGGAATTCTGCAGTCACAGAACTGTCATAAATAGACTCATTTTGACAGGATGAGGATGGGACATGAAGAAGAAGAAGAGAAGAAGTTGAAACATTGTATCTATTTGTTGCAGATAAATGACATTCTGCAGAGCTCCTCTACAGTTAGAGAATAGAGGAAAGAAGAGGATGAAAATAAGATTAATTCCAAGCCGGCAAAAAGTGTATGTGTCCTCTAAGTGTATCTGCAGAGCTCCTCTAAGTGTATCTGCAGAGCTCCTCTAAGTGTATCTGCAGAATAGAGGAACTCTGCACATACACTTTTTGCCGGCTTGGAATTATTCTTATTTTCATCCTACTTCTTCTTCTTCTTCTTCTTCATCCTCATCCTCATCCTCTTCTTCTTCTTCTGAGGATGAGGATGATGAAGAAGAAGAAGAAGAAGAAAATAGGATGAAAATAAGATTAATTCCAAGCCGGCAAAAAGTGTATGTGCAGAGCTCCTCTAAGTGTATCTGCAGAGCTCCTCTAAAGTGTATCTGCAGAATAGAGGAACTCGCACATACACTTTTTGCCGGCTTGGAATTATTCTTATTTTCATCCTACTTCTTCTTCTTCTTCATCCTCATCCTCATCCTCTTCTTCTTCTTCTGAGGATGAGGATGAAGAAGAAGAAGAAGAAGTAGGATGAAAATAAGAATTCCAAACCGGCAAAAAGTGTATGTGCAGAGTTCCTCTATTTCTGACAGTTCTCTGACAGCTTCTTCACATGTACAGCGGTTGAAACATCTGTATCCTAAATGGAAACTAATAGATACAATGTTTCAACCGCTGTACATGTGTTCCTTCTGTCAGAGAACTGTCAGAAATAGCGGAGCTCTCTGCAGGGACACTTTTGCCGGCTGATCGGGAAAAATCTGATTCGCGCACCCGAAGTAGGCAAATATTCGGATTCGCCGCGAATCGAATTTTTCCTGAAATTCGTATCGAATTCCGGTTCGCCTGGTTCGATTCGCTCATCTCTAATTGCTTAATACCAATGTATTTTATTGATATTTGCAATCATTGTTACTGAATGAAACTGATTCATTCAGTCTTTTGTTGTGATTAGCTGTTATTGGGCAAAGCTGATCACAAGATACAGATAGGCTGTGATTGGCCCTGTCTGTATCATGTGACTGCTTTGACCAATCACAGCTAACAACATAATTGTATACAATGGATGGCATGACAGGAATCTATCTATCATATACTATTGACATGTGATTTGCTGTGATTGGTCACAGCGGTCACATGACACTGGCAATGGGCTGGTGTAGTGATATGTCATCGGCTGTGTCCCGTGGACACAGCTGGTGACAGATCAGGCCAATGCGCGGCCCTGCGGCCGTGTGGGTGGTTCGTGTTGACAGGACGTCATATGACGCCCAGTCACAATGAGGAGTGTCCCGCCCTGGTGTCAATCTGCTATAAACCGGGTGGGAAGGTGTTAAAGGAATTTTTTTTTTTTCTTTAGGCAATGAAAAATGACTGCCCCTTTAAAAACGGTACTTTTTGAAATTTTGTTTTTTTATTAATGTGTCTCAGGACAGTACCCGAGTCCCCATACCCCTTTTATGGCCAAAAACTTGCATAAAGGCCTTCAAAATGGGCACTTTTGAATTTACAAGTTCGAGTCACATAGACTGGAATTGAGTTCGAAGTTCACGGTCGAACATTCATTAGATTCGAACATTCGACCGTGAACCTAACACTGGGATGTTAGGCCCATCACTGCTGACGAATCCTCCATTGGGAAGGAGGGTTTTTCTCAGCTAAGCACACCTTGCTGCCTGTATGCCTGAACTAAGGGCAGATGGATCAAAGGCAGTAATTGCTAAATGAATCATCTGCCCTTACTCAAGATGGCCACAGTCAGAAATGCTAGGGTGGTATCCTTCTCAGAAAAATAAACATGGAAATATGGATGGATGGGTGAGTTTGCTTTGAATATTAAAAATGAATTAGTTAGTGCTTTTGGTTTGTGTGGCTGAGAAAAAGTGTAGTTGCACTGCATACCTGGAATAAATCCTTACATGCTCTTCCCAAATTTCTAAATCGGGATAAAGCAGAAATCTTGCTAGTTCAGCACAATATTCAAAAGTTTAGAGAATGTACATTCTCTAAACTTTTGAATGTACAACTTGAGAATAGAGTAAGCTTCATGGAAGATATAAGCCCCACATAATTACATCCTCCCAGAAAATCACCCAGCACACTTCTAGAATTTAGGACATGGAATATAGGATACACAGAAACAATGTTCACATAATTGATATCCCACAATAAACAGAAGGGAAGTCACCAACAGGGCTCATAGGGTCCCCTACTGACCACCTTAACCAGGCACATCACCTAGACCACTTCTCCTGAAAATGCTGTTCTAAAAGGATCGGGACATTATCCTGAAAAAAACTAGGCAACACAAGGATCTAGAGTTGGCAAAAGCAAAAATATTTTTGTTCACAGATTTTGCACCAGAGCTTCAGCACCAAGGAGCAAAATATTCTAATGTAACAAAAATATATAAACTACCATATACAACTTTATGTCCAGTGGCACTGAGAATAGTGGCTCATGAAGACACCCACTTCTTTAGTTCTCTAAACGCTGCTGCTTGGCTTGATAGAAACAAATGCTACCCTAAAAATAGCCTGGCTGCTTAACCACGTTTCTATGTGGTAATATAATTTACTTGTATTCAAAACAGCTTGGAGACAACTGTATATGTGCATTGTGCTAATAAATGATGACATGTCACACACACATGTTCTACTGATGTTCAGCTACATTTATCTTCCCCAGTAGATGTTCATGTGTGAAGAACTGTTCATGTTGTTTTCAACACCTGGTTTTATGATGGACTATGATTTTTTAGATTTGTTTTATTGTTATAAACAGCTGGACCACAAACCTCCAAATGCTGCCTCCCCATCTGGACCCATAGGTCCAGGACTGGGTAATTATAATGCAAACACTATTAACCAATATCCTTCATTGCCTGTTCAGCAACCTTCTCAGCTTTGTGGCTCTCCTTTTCCTCTCTCCTACTCCCAACACTTACTATTCTGTGTCTGGTGATTGCATTATGCAAGCATTTTTTTTGGATCTAAACAATGGCTAATTGCAGATCTGTAAA